CGGAGAAGAGATCCTGGGACACCAAACCCTCACTCATCATGTTGTCAAAGACAGGAGTAGCACCAGAGGAGGAGATGCTGGGATAAGCCAGACCCAAGATGCCATCAAAGGGGGAGTAATAAAGGAAGCTGCCAGGCTCAGTCTCGCTCAGACCAAAGATCTGGTTGGTGACAGTGATGCCTCCGACCTGGGTGGAAGGACAAGAGCTGTTGGGCACGTAACAAAACTTAAGCCAAAAACAATTCTATTTCTTCACTGGTTAAGGGGTGTGGTGGTCCTGGGTAGTGGCTGTTTACATCACAACTACGACATTTTAATGCTACGGACTAGAAAAGAAAAAAAACATATTTGTTTTCAAGCTGGTGAAACCTATAAACTGTACATAAAATAAACTGTTGATAGTTTCAACAAGGAAGCAGATGCACACACAATCTCCAGTTTGTGGAGAGCTTCCTAGTTCAAATTACATACATTTTGTTTTTATATCCAAACCTGGAATTGTTGCTAGTTCAAAGTCAGCCTTACTGAAACAAGCCAGAATCAGCAATCATAGTTTAAATAAACCACATGCTGTATGACAACACATTCTCAGGCCATGCTTCTCTGGGTTGCCACACCATAGGGGGCCAGAAAAGTTAGGCCTTCTCGGTTGTGGCACCAGACCTTTAGAATTGACTCCCAGTTGAGCTGCACCTGGCCTCCTCCCTGCCTACCTTTAATAGGTTGCTCAAAATCCTGCTCCGTACAGAGGATTTTGATGGCAACTTCAAATGAACTTGCCATCTGCCCTGCCCATCCAATCATGGGTTGATGTCCTTGGCTGGCTTGTCCTGTGATGTTGGAGCTGATTGCTTTATTTGTATTATTATCATTATCATTTTTTGTTTTAATGTTCCTTTTTTTAACTTTATTGACTGTTAACTACCCAGAATAGTGTTTTGCATTAACTCGGCAATATAGAAAACTTAAGAAAATAATAAATGAATGAATAAAAATATTGTAGATACTTTGTTAAACCTGGAAATGTTTGGTCAAAATCCCCTTCTCCTTGCTTTTATTGCTTGACTGGAAGTGCAACTGCAAAAGGCTTATTAAGCACCTAATATGCTGAAGGGCACAGCTGGCTTCCGCTTAGACTGACTTGTGGCCTGTCACAAGTCGGACAGGCCACAAATTGATAGTGATGGCTTTACCATAAACAAGATTTAAAAGGGAGCCCAGTGTTGTCCCCTTTGCAGTCAATAACAATTCTGTACCTCCCAGGCCTCTGAGTGGATCCTACTTGTGTTAATCCACCCAAACCATGTTGCCAGCCATGTCATTTCTCCTACCCCCAGGATCAAAGAAGATGATAACAGGTCATATCATTAGAAGTTGGCCACAATTCTGTGGAGATTTGTGCCTGAGCCATCAGGATGGCAAAAGTTTTATCTGCAAATTCTCAATCAGAAAAGAAGGAAAGAAAGCTGATGTGCAAGGTACTTGCATAACGGCAATTGAGGAATTTCAGCTATTTGCATTTTATAAGCTAGTAAGCCTCCATTTTTTTCACATCCAGTTACTGTATATCCTCCAGTAGTTTACCTGGACAGTGTCATAGCCTAGGATTCCAGTCATGCTCCCAGTGCCATATGTGATGGAGACACTCTGGTCAGTTCCCTGGTAGGTGGAGGAACTCTGAGGGTTGAAGCGGTTGTGGTTTGCTGCAATGCAAATCAGTCAGTCCGTGAGCCTGTGGTCAAGCTTTATATCATCAATACAGAGATGCTGGAGTGGAAGCCACTTCAGCACCAGGCTCACTGTTATAAAAACTCTGTTCCCTAATCTCTTTTGCATGGAAAACAGTTGTATTGTAACTGATTTTCTTTCTTGTAAAAGAAAAATGTTTTGCTGGTACTGAGAAGAACTTCTCTCTAACTGGTACTTTAGATGCGGAGCAGGGCCACCTGGAACCCCTTCCACACACTTAGACTCTCCACACCCGAACGTTTTATGAATCCCCTAGAAAAACCCGTTTTATATTTCAACACTGCTTCCTTAACCCAGTTATTTTTTGCTGCCTGAGGCAAAAACAAACCCCTCCCCAAATAGGAGATCTTTCATTCTTAAAAAAGCAGTTGAAAAAAGGTTCCCCTTGACAATTTTTTTGTCCAGTCGTGTCCGACTCTAGGGGGCGGCGCTCATCCCGCTCTTCAAGCCGTAGAGCCAGCGTTTGTCCGAAGACAATCTTTTCCGTGGTCACATGGCCAGTGTGATTTAGACACGGAAACACTGTTTACCTCCCCACCGAGATGGTACCTATTTATCTACTCGCATTTGCATGCTTTCGAACCGCTAGGTTGGCGGGAGCTGGGACAAGCAACGGGCGCTCACTCCGTCGCGTGGATTCAATCTTATGACTGCTTGGTCTTCTGACCCTGCAGCACAGGCTTCTGCGGTTTAGCCCACAGCGCCACCACTGGTAGTCAAATCTTTCTTACACTCTGGCAACAGGGCAATAGGCCAGGCTATGTGGCACAGAGTTGTGACCTCCAACATCTTCTAGTTGCCTTACAGGATCAGCTGTCTGAGGCGACTGTATAATTTTGCTTTATTATATCTGGTAGGTCCACCCCTGCATCCACTTCCCAAGTTCCAATGGCTATTTTAGGCAACAAGCTATATTGGTTTGCCCTCTCTTATATGTAGTGAGGAGAAGACAGATGAAAACATGAATAAAGCATAATCCAGTTACTTTCTATGAGCAAAAGTTTATGGACCCAACTTACAGCAGGCTGAGCTGGAACAATATACAGAAGGGACCCACAAGTTGGAAGAGCCAGTGTCAAAGAGGACAACAAATTCCTGAGGTGGAGTTCCGATGTAGATATTGCCGATGTACTCAATCTGTGGGGTAAAAATAGGGCATGATAATGAGAACACATAACTACTACTACACACAATCCCCGTAGAAGGTCTGAGGCTATAAATAATCTTTTTAACATAGGCATTAGTTTATCCAGCCTGTAGTCAAACATGTTGTGCAGGTATTTGAAACAGTGTCAAAACCTGCAAAATCTGTTTATTAAAAAAGAAAGCAGATTGAATTTATTTCATTCTATCAACAATCATGCCATCTAGATTTGGAGGTTGGGGGGGGGAGAGCAGACTGTCAGTCTTCTATCTAATCTCTGTAACTGGTTTACTTTTTTTAAAAAAAACATACAATGAATAAAGTTCAACCTGTACTGCTGCTTTTCTGTCCTAATTAAAAAACCACTAGGATACCTTCTGCTTATGACCTACTATCATTTCCTAGCTTTGAAACTTATCCGAGACAGTAGATTGTGCTCAACAGTGGACTTGGGCGAACCCAAAAGATTTTGCTAGCCAAAGATGTGCAACAAAACAAAACAAAACCAAAAAAACAAACAAACACCCAAGCATGAACACCCTCCCACCATGTAAATGTACACAATACTCAAGGCTCCTGCTGACAAAGAATAAATAACCAAATAAATCTTAAAAGATCAAAATAAAAATAAATCTCAGAATCAGCTCTCTTTACCTCCTGTGAATAAAAATACAGGAATGGCAATGGCTCTTGGTTTGTTATCATTTAATACCTCAAATCAACTCCCTGGCTTTCCCAGGTCACCAGAGCAGGGGTGGATTCTAGCATACTGTTTATATAGGTGAAGGAACAATAATTTTAGGAGTGATGAGCACTAGGCAAGGCCAGCCCATCAGTAAGCCAAGGTAGTTCTGGTATATTATTTCAGACATATCCTCCAAATTAAAAAACAAAACAAAACTCACATCCATATAATTTTCCAGGGGTTCAGCGGCCACTGCCAAGTTTTGTTTGGGGTAGTACTTTGAGCCCAAGTTGTGGTGATGTTTCTTCAGAAATTCGTCCAGCTTCCCATGTTCTTTAAGATTTTGCCGTAGAGATTTTCCTTTCCGCAGGGGGACCCTAAATGAGAAAGGATTAAAAGGAGAATGATGAAAGACAGTCAGATGCCAGAAGAAAGCCCTCTGGTCTTAGCAAAGCCTGCACAACATATTTGGCTTCAGGATTTTCACAACTGGCACTGTCATAGTCCTTGTTGATCCAGATCAAGAATGACTTCCGCAGAGGGTTCTGGCAGAAAGAAGGCTGCTCCCATCTAAAGAACAATAGTATTTTGGTACATAGATGCATATTGGGGGGGGATGTTGCTCTCTCTGATGCCAACCATTAGAGAGAATGTTTCTTTAAATAACCTGTTGAACAAAGTATAGAAATAAGGATAGATAGTTCTTCTGAAGACTACATATTTTTGCATATGCATGTGAAGTAAGTTGAAAGCTGTATACTTACTTGGTTACCAGGCACTGGCCAAGGGTGACCAAGCCCAGAAGAAAGAGCCACTTCATATTTTTTTTCTTTATCCCCAAGCCGCTGACCAAAAGGAAAGAAGTGTGGGTCCCAGCTTAACAGCAATACCACTGGGAACTGCTCCTTATATACATCTAGCACTGAGCCTTTCTTATCATCCTCCAATTCTGATAAGAAATGCAAACTTTTTTGATAAGATATTTCAAATATCCTTAAAGAAAAGGTTGGAGAGCTTTCCAAGTTTCCATTAGCATTAAGACCATGACCCAAAAGAGTGCTCATGTGACACCTGAACTCACCAGAACACGTTGGCACATACTGTCCCAAACCTTTTTATTGTCTGAACCTAGTATGAAATGTACATTTTCTTATTATATTACATCAGTAGTAGAGGTAAGCAATCACTTTTTCCAAAATGAAAAGGATGCAATGAATTGATTACATACATTCCAGTTCTGAGCTGCAGAAAGTCTCAGGGGTACAACATTTATACAGGGTTCGGTTTCCTTTGGAAGTCTGACTCTACTTACCAGCATTTCTTAAAGTTTGCATTCATACAAGCTCAGCATAAATTGGAGGCTCATATCATTAACTCAAGCAGATGCTCCAAAGTCCATTGCTCCCTGTAAGATTTTAAGGGGATTCATTCTTTCCCCTATTTAACAACAACAACAGAAATAACACAATCAGAGCTATAAAATGACAATATTAGGAACAGCATACATGATGTGCAGATATTTAACAGATAATTACAGTTTTGCTTAAAACGTATATCTGTTATGTAACACCAGTCAATGTTTTTATAATTTTGATTGACTGTGCCTGGTATTTTTAATAATAATAGTAAGTCAATGTTTTTATAATTTTTATTGACTGCCTGGTATTTTTAATAATAATAGTTACATGTCTCCATCTATATACAGTGGTGCCTCGCATAATGAGCGCACCGTTTAACGACGAATTCGCATAGCGATCCGTTTTTTGGGATCGCTAATGCGATCGCATACCGATGCTTTCCATGGCCGAAAATCGCTTTGCGACGATCGGTAAGCGTTTCGCTTATCGATTTTTGCATAGCGATTTTTTAAACAGCTGATCGGCGGTTCCAAAATGGCCGCCGGATGCCCGAAATGGCCGCGCGCAGCATTTTCGCGCCCTGCCCTCGCTTACCGAGGGCGCGAAAATGGTGGCCGGATGGGGAAACATCGCAGAATGGTGAGTTTTGGGCCCCATAGGAACGCATGAAACAAAGTTTAATGCGTTCCAATGGGTTTTTCCGTTCCATATAGCAATGTTTCCCCATAGCGACAGTTAATCCGGAACAGATTAACCTTGCTATGCGGGGCACCACTGTATAGCAGTGCAATTTAATCACTTACCTCAAAATTCTACAACTGAAGACTGAATGACAACAGGATGCACATTTCTGATAATAAAAGATCATCATAAGGACAATGAACCTAGTAATTATCGACCAATTACATGCCTTCCAACAATGTTCAAGCTCCTCAAAGAAGTACTTACAAGATCAATATATAATTACATAATTGAAAACTCCCTCTATCCAACTGAACAGAAAGAGAACTTTAAAAAGTCAAGAGGCATGAAAGATCAGCTGCTTATTGATAAAATGTAAAATGGACGAAATGATGCTAAAGAATACAAAAAGATGAAAAACAAATCTTGACATGGTCTGGATAGGCTATGAAAATACATTTGATCCATTGCCACATAGCTGGATTAACACCTGCATAACAATTTTGGAGATTAGTAAAAATATTCAGAGGTTCTGCAAGAAAAACAGAAAAACGGGAAAGTGTCTTAATGGCCAATGGTGAAGAAGTTTGTGAAGTTACTGTCAAAAGGAGTATTTCATAGAGATTCTTTGTCAGTACTGCTGTTTAGCATCTCAAATATCCCCATGTCAATATTTTTAGATAAAACAAGATTGGACTACTGTATTTCACAACAAGCAGGAAAACCCAATAACCTTGGGTTATAACATCTGGATGACCTAAAACTATATGCAAAAATTCCACAGAGATAGAATCATTGCAAAACACAGTACGAATATTTAGTGAAGATATTGACAAATGGGCAACTCTTTCTATACAATGTGGCAATATCCGAAAACTAGATGGAACAGAATTAAAAATGGCAATATTATAAAATCATATAACATGATGAAAATTATAAATACCTTGGAATACTAGAAGCAGATATCATCTTACACAAATGTTGAAAATCCAATCAAAGCCATAAACACACAGGCAGCTCCAGTAATTAGATACACAGATGGAATAATAGATTGAACTCAAAATTGATTAGAAGAACCAGATAGAAAAACATGGAAACTAATAAACATGCATCACGCACTACATCCAAAAAGTGATGTGGACAGATTATATTTACCATGAAAAATTGGAGGCCATGGGTTACCACAAAAACAGCAGGTAGTAGAGGAGGGGGGGAAAAGCCTAAATGATTATACTGTATCAGTACAAGCAAAGAAAAATTACTTAAGGCAGTGAAAAAGGGGAATATTTTGAAAACAACAGAAACAAAGACACAATAGAAGAAACAACAATTTGAAAATAAATTGAACAGTTGGAAAAATAAACCATTGCATGGACAACACCTGAGAAATATTGATCATAATTTAGCATGGGCATGGCTAAAACCCTTAAGAAAGAAACCAAAGGCTTGATTTTTGTTGCACAAGAACAAGCACTCCAAAAACCATCAAGACGAAAGCTAAGATCCAAGGAATTAGTGCTAACAGCAAATGTTGTCTCTGCTAAGAAAAAGATGAAACTTTGTCACACCTCATCTGCGAATGTCCAAATTTGCACAAACAGATTACAAAATTAGACATGACTGAGTGGCAAAATTAGTACACTGGTCATTATGCAAAAAATATAACTTGCCAGCCTCCAAAAACCAATGGGGACATCAGGTAGAGAAGGCGTCAGAAAATGAGGAAGTCAAGATCTTGTGGGATTTCCAGATCCAAACGGACAGACACCTTGAACATAACTCACCAGACACAGTTGCAATAGAATGAAGAAATGTTTGGATCATTGACATTGCAATTGAAGGGGAAGCCAGAGCTGAAAATATTGGAATTGGAAAACTAACAAAACCTGGCAATTGATACATCTTGCTTGTGGATGAAGCACACCTGTAATCATTGGGACTTTGAGAACAATATAAACAAATTTCACACGGTATTATAAGCAGTTGCAGATCTGAGAAATAACACCATTGGTGCGACAAAAAAACAGCAATATTAGGAACAGCACACATACTGTGCCATTATTTAGAAGATACTTAGGGTTTTGGTTAAAATTTGAATCTGTTATATAATACCAATCAATGTTTTTATAATTTTGACTGATTGTGTCTGGTATTTTTAAAATAATAATATCCTGACTCATCTGACTTATGGGGACCCTTTCTATTGTATTTAGGTATAATCTGAAATTGTTTAGCATTCCCCTTTTCTATGAGTGCTCAGGACTATGTGCCTTGCCCAAAGCTATATAGGCTGTTTCTTTTTCCCCAGGAAGCACAATAGGAAACTGAATTTGCAGTCCCCAATTCATTGAGCTAGCCAGTCAGTATAAGAAAGAATAAGTATGAATATTCCTTTCTTGAGAGTCCCCTGGACTGCAAGGAGAACAAACCTATCAGTTCTAAAGGAAATCAAACCCAAGTGCTCACTGGAAGGACAGATCCTGAAGCTGAGGCTCCAATACTTTGGGCATCTCAGGAGAAGACAAGACTCATTGGAAAAAACCCTGATGTTGGGAAAGAGCGAAGGCAAGAGGAGAAGGGGACGGCAGAGGATGAGATGGCTGGACAGTGTCATAGAAGCGACCAACATGAATTTGACCCAACTCCGGGAGGCAGTGGAAGACAGGAGGGCCTGGTGTGCTCTGGTCCATGGGGTCACGAAGAGTCGGACACAACTAAATGACTAAACGACAATCATGTTTTTAGCCAATTTAGCTCTCACAAGTATTTCACCTTTTGGTAATATTTTCCCCCATTTCAAATATCCTTAAAGGAGAGGATATTGATACCCGTTTGTACCAACAACTGAGAGATGCCCATTGGCTCTGATGGTATCATGAAAATGGAGGCTGAGGTACCCCTGGGGTTTATTCTGTGGAAGTCATTGAGTTGAGTCAGGAGGAGTCCTTTGTGTCAGCACAAAACAATCAGGAATAAAGAGCACATTCATGATGTTATGAGATCTGGATTGGGGAACTAAAAATGAAGCTAAAAAGCAAGGCTTTATCTATCAGCCCACATACCACCAATAGTTTAAACCATATTGTTTACCTTCCAATTAACATTATCAGGGTCCTGACCTTCTAGGGACAAGCAAACACCAAGAATGTGGTGCCACTTTCCAAGGAGCTGGGAATGAAACGGTCCAAAGGCCTGAAACAACCTCCAAACGCATATCTGTTGCCTCTTTATCTTCATGTTTGAAAATGGTATTTTAAATAACATTTACCAGCTTTCTCCTGGTACTGTGGTTTTTGAAATGTCTTAATGTTTCAGTATTCATTCGTCTTAACACACATGATCTCAGTAATACTTGCTGCGTTTTTTTTAAACTGCAGTTTTTGGGCTGCTGGTCTCAATTGTATGAGGTTGGAATTGTTTTGGTTTTTTATAATTTCTTTCATTATAAATACTGCCTTGGGAAAGTATTACCCTTAACGTCAGCCTAACATACATACATACATACATACATACATACATACATACATACATACATACAACAATCCTATACATTTCAGTTCTAATTTTTACCAGATGACATGGTGATCTTATATCTGGTCTATACCACTTCAGAGTACCACTTCACATGCCCCTCTATAAAAAGCTAGTTCATGCAGCAAGTGGCACTTTATTCACACATTTTGTATTGAATAAGTCATCAGACCATTTCAAAATTACATAGCAAAACATATAAATATAGATACATGTATAAAATGATAATAAACAAGAATATATGCACATGAAATTCCCTTTAAAACAACTATTTAAAACAAACCGCACTGACACTCCAGGTAACCTCTTAGTGGTTATACCTAAGTAGTGAACATCTTTAGTGGCATACCTACAGCAAGTGTTAGAGGTGCCACAATGTAAATCGATCATGTTTTTTGTGGGGCTAGAATTGTGACAGTATCATATATCCGCAGATATGAAATGAAAAATAATCAAGTAAGTGTAATAACATGCATGGATCGTATTCAATTCCTCCAAAAACCTCCCATTTATTAATGTGGAATATTGTGCTTCTGTACCCATGGTTCAAAACAACAGGAAATGGTTTGATATTACTGCACAATATCTTGCCTGCTTTGCCAGCAAGAAAAGGAATGCCAAGTTTTACACCTCAAAGAGCAGCCTGAAAGTTGACAACACCAATGGCAGTGGTCAAGATAGTGTACAGGATACCCTCTTGTGTTCACTACCATTCACAGTGTGACACAGCACAAGGGAAAGTCCCAGAAGCTGACTGTTTTCAACCACTTCTTACCCAACCACAAAACAATTCTCACAGCTGTTTTTTAACAAGTAGGAACGGTCCTTTCATTGCTCTACACTACAATGTTC